GCAGGCCACTGCTGCGTGTCGCCTCCTGTGTGTCATGGTATCAAAACGACAGCAAAAAATTTTGCTGATCGCAGTCGTTTTTTGACTAAGAAGCACTTCGGCAGCCTGCATGCAATGCCTGAGAGACAGGCATGGGGAGGCTGAACCATGGATGTTATGAAGGTTTTGTTTGTTTTTTGGACTAAAAGAACAACAAAATGTTGAAATCAAAAGCTGGGAATTATGTTATGAAGGTCTCACTGCAGCCAGATGATTTTTGAGACTCTGCACCTGTTGACAGGTGTTTTAACCCTCAGCTCATTAGTAAAGTGTTCTCATTTGTCTGGGACTGTTTTGTTTAATTATTTTTTTCAACTACAATTAAAAAGCAATGTTTTATTTTAAGGCTCAAGAACAGTTACTTTCCCCAAGTGATGACCACTCTGAATGCACACATGCACCAAAATCTTTATTTACAACAACCTAGTTGTAATTGTTTCACTTCCAGATGCCAGCAGTGTTGATGGTGTTTTTATTTAACCTGTGATTTGTCCTTTCTCTTCACTCATGTACATTTTAGGATCAGGACTTTAGCAGTTTCATTGTGCTGGCAGCACTTCCTGTTGTTGAACAATGACAGTAAAGCTGATTCTAATTTAGTGTTTCTTTTTTTACATTTGTTGTAATTTGAGTTTCTTATTATTTCGGTGACTTTTTAGGGGGCAGCAGTAGCTCAGGTGGTAGAGCAGGTTGCCTCATGGGTTTGATTCCAGCTCCCGCCAGGGGTATTCTGCTGTTGTGTCCTTGGGCAAGACACTTCACGCAACCAACCTGTGTTGGTGGTGGTCAGAAGGGCCTACGGTGCCAAATGGCAGCCTCGCCTCTGTCAGACCGCCCCAGGGCGGCTGTGGCTACAAAGTAGTTTACCATCACTATCAGTGTGGGAATGTGAGAGTGCATGCAGGCGTCTGAGTGTCCTAAACAAATGCTATTTAAGTTTGATTATTATAATAATCATTATTATTACTTTGTGAATTTGTCTTGTCTTTAATGGAATGATATGAATACATGTTAGGATTACTGTATAAACATGGCTCAAATCCTGTTGGAAAGTTCCTGAGAGGATTTGTTTTCACAGTACTGTATAGAGGCTAATAATACATATATTATGTCATCACATCAGTTTATAAGTGTAATCTAGTGCTTTTTGATAGTCAAAGTTGAAAGGTTTCATTAAAAATTAGAACATAAATCCTAAATCCGCCCCTGGGCAATGGCCAATTTTATTTCTTTATTACTGTTTTATTGTTACAGCATATAAAACTTACAACTGTTGTTGTTATATTATCATTAGCCAATAATAACAGTTTTAAGAAGATGTTGGAAAATATTAGTTTTTCATGTTTCTGGCTTAAATATTTAATATTTCAAGGTTCAATAAGAGATTAAATGTAAGATGGTAAAACGTCTTTCTTTCTTTAAATGCCTGAAACAAAAGGTTGACAACGATTTCACACAAAGTATACACCCACGTGATTTGTTAGTGAATAAGGCGTGAACCGTTGCTGTTGTTAGTGACAGGTGGTGGTAAGGTGCGATCAAGCTGTTTTTTTCCACACCTGAACCTCCCACAATAACAGACACAGACATTCACACACAGCTGTGTTTCCAGGACTTTAGACTAATTTAATGGAGATCATTTCAACCCTTTACAACCCAATTAACCTAAACGTCACATTAACCCCGGACTTCACTTTAAAATGTTTTTATTTGCGTTACGTCTTCTGTTGTCACCTGGAGGAAGGTCAGATTCCCGACTGTGACTGCATAAACAGGTCTCCACCTGGATAACACACACACACTCAACACCCCATAAATCTGTGTGCAACCTTAGTTTTTGGCTGTCAAACTCTCTCTGAACCTTCTTTACTGCAGTGACAGAATGACACACACACACACGCACACACACACACACACACACACACACACACACACACACACACACACACACACACACACACACACACACACACACACACACACACACACACACACACACACACACACACACACACACCAGAAGCATTGATATGCTCTTTGTTTGCCTTCTTCCTCCTGTTTCCTCCATGAGCAAAACACAAAGAGAGACACGACAGCAGGTTTTCTATTCTGCACCACATACAAGAAAAAAACCTATTTTCACAGAGGAGGATTCAGGTAGATGTGAATCATTTAGAGGTTAGAAACAGAAAACACAAAACTTTAATCGTGATTTCAGCTCCTGTGATCCATCAAAATTACCCTGACCTATGACCTCTCTGCACAACACAGAAAATGAATGACAAATTAATTTTCTGGTGGCCTTTATGGTGCAATTGATTACATGATGCATTCTGCAGGCACACAGAAGAGCCCTATTATCATAATTCAGTGATCGTGTGTTTAGATTTTCCATTAGTGGAAAAATTAAACGCACTAAACTATGTTCTAATATTCTTGATGAGCGTCCCAGTTGCTTCTGTCGTGAAGATATTCTTGCTTTTCCTTGACATTTACTGTGATAAATGCCCTGAGCTGCTGCTTCCCCCCCTACAACGTTACGTGACGTCTGCTTACCTCACGCAGCTTTCATGGCTTCTTAGAGAAGTTGAGTGTCTGATGGTCAAATAGGAACAAACTCCTGCAGAAAAGAACCTTTCTGATAGAGTCAGGGATGGGGATTAAGCTGGAAGAAACTCCTTGAGTAATGCATTTTGTTTAAAGAGGTGCTTTAGATAGTTATTTTTCAACAAATAAATACTGTTGCCTGCTTTTAACAACAACCACGGTTTCTTTACACTTGGTTTTGCATCTTCTGAAGAGCGAAACATTCTTAAAACCATAAATTCACATTTGCTCTGACCTACTTGCCTTTACATGCCCAAGCTTTAGAGCTGGGGAGATTCAAGAGGTCAAACTGTACCAAAGTAAAAGCAGGCTGGAGACTATTGGCTTGATGATGCAAATAAGTGAAACCAGCAGTTTATGCTGTTGTGACTGTTGTATCAGGCTTACATGAACCAGCCTAAAGTGTCAGAGGTCTAATCTCCACCCTCAGGCTTTATCACTAAACCCTGGTAGACTTCAGTGATGTCAGAGCTGAGCTCCAGTTGGAGTTCATGATGGGCTCAGATGGTATAAAAAGAAGAAACGAGACACCTGTCATGATAACACACATGACTTTGAAGCAGCACCATTAACAAAAAATGAAAAGAGGGGGAGAGGCATTCACTCACACAGAATGAGTTGTACAGTAAGCAAATGTAGCATATAATCTGCCACACACACATTTGATAGAATTCCTACAGTTTAAAATGGCATCCTGTTAAGTAACAATGTAAAATCCCATTTTACTACCAACCAGTTTTGAGAGATATAGTCATTAAAATGATTAAACTGTTTTAGGATATAGTGACCTGGTTAGCTTTTGCTATGCAGCCAAAATCGTAATTCAGTTCTATTAGGTAAAACTGACGCATTAAAAAAATCTAATGACTAACTCACAATCAGCATTCCTTGTTTTTATTTACATGACCTAAACATAATTCTTGGTTAGTTAATGAGCTAAAATAAAATTGTAGATGTGAATACCTGAAATCTGACGTT